TATATATATATATAGGAATAAACTGCAGCCACAAGCAGTAAAATTTACAAAGCGGCTACAATAATTTGAAAACAAAATAATTGTAGCAAATAATTTTGAGGTTTTATCTGTCAGGAGCTGTCAGATAAACATTTTTTTTAAAGATCAACTTTCCTCACTGGTCACAAGTTATTGGGATGGTTCAAGCTGAGTCAACATTGTTTTGTTTTTTTCTCACAGATGAAAAAGAGAGATTTGACCCTACCCAGTTTCAGGAAAGTATTGTCCAAGGTCTGAACCAAACTGGCACTGATCTGGAAGCTGTCGCAAAATTCCTTGACTCTTCCGGTGCCAAGCTTGACTACCGGCGATATGCTGAGACTCTCTTTGACATCCTGGTGGCGGGTGGCATGCTGGGTGAGTTGCCTTGCAAAACATATAAAATCTTACATTTAGGACTGAGAAATCAGTCTGTTTAATTACTGATCACAATTTAAATTAAGAAAGTTCTTGACCCACCCCTCCTATCTTGCTTTGCTGTGATTTGTACAAAAGCTGAAGGTAATATTTACATGATGTCATAGTTGATCTCTGGTTTTGCTTCAAAAAATGATACTGGAAGGGACAACGCCTGCAACAATTAAGACATGTTTCATCTTAAAGGAAGGAAAGAACCTTGCATAGACTTTGTCAGAGCTGTTCAGTCCTGAGATAAATTAAATTGAAATATTTTTTATATTTAGAACCAGGAGGGACTCTGACAGATGTACCCTGTGCAGAGTTCTGTGTCTTCAAAGCACAGGAGGACATGGAGACCATGCAAGCATACGCACAGGTCAGCACTCGTTTCTGCTCATTTTGGACAGGAACAAAACATGTCACGTACTTGCAACTATATATGTTTTGCATTTGTAGGTCTTCAACAAGCTTATCAGGCGTTACAAATACTTGGAAAAGGGATTTGAGGAGGAAATCAAAAAGGTTTGTTTGTTTAAGGATCTTTAAATTTCAAAACTGATCAAAGTCCATTTTCCTGATTCTTTAAATAACACATTTTGAAAAGTATATTGTCTAATTTATTTGACCCTACAGATCTGTATTTATATTTTTTTACTGTTTTGCAGCTGCTCTTGTTTCTCAAGGGCTTCACAGAGTCTGACCGCAACAAACTGGCCATGCTAACAGGGATTCTGCTAGCCAATGGCAATCTCCCTGCCTCCATTCTCAGCAGTCTCTTCAATGAGAACCTGGTCAAAGAAGGTACCCTGTTTATCTTCTCAATTTGGTGCACAGTATTGTTTAACTGCTCATTTTAGACTCTGTTAGACTTTAAACTTGTAAAATTGGCAGCATGACAGCTTAGTGACAGCTTAATGGTGCTGCTTCAGAGCAGAAGGTTCTGGGTTCAATCCCCGGCCTTGGCCTCAGGTCTTTCTTTGTGGAGTTTGCATGTTTTCCTCTTGTTTAAATAGGTTTTCTACAGGTACTCTTTCCAAAAACTCAGGTATTCTTTCCAAAAAAACTAAAGCAAAATAGGTATTTTTAGGTTGCCTTCAGGCCCAGACCTCCCTTGGAAATGCAATCTGTGATCTCAMTGGGATTAAACAAAAGCTCATAAAATGTATTCCAGTGATTMTGGGGGTTTATTGTTGATATTCAAGTTTTTTTCTCCCTGTGACATAATTCTGCCTGAGAGATTCAAGTCTGGGTAAGTGCATACAATAATACATCTCAAAAACCTCTGCGAACATTCAGTCACACATCAGACTGCAACCAGGGGTTAAATGTGTGTTTTTAAATTAAGTAGATTTTAAACATGTCCAACATAGACATTTCAGGATTTGTCACTCTGCGCCGCCTCAAACAAGCAAAACAAACTACTTTTGTTCTCACACACAGTGTAACCCCCTTACCCAGTTGAATATCTTGCACCAAAAACAATAAGGTTTACTTCATTCCCTGTTCAATTCTAGTCCAGAAAAACACTCGTCTCAAAAACTTCAAACATTTACTATTCAAATTGTTCAGTGTCGGGGGACATCAGCACACCACTTGTATATTTGAAAATCAATTCATCACCTTCCTTGTCCTCAGATGCAGTGCACCTAAAAATAAAATAAAACCCCACCCTTACTAATTTTAGTCTTACACAAGAAGTGCTGATTTTTACATGCAGATTTCTGCTGTGTTTGAGAACAGATGTTCACTTGAACAATTATCTTTTCTTAACATTTTTTTAATCCTCACACCTTTGCTTTCATGTAATTTATTTTACACACCGTTACACACACCTGTGTTTATATATAAATATGAGCGATGCACTGACAAGAAAATTTCAGACAATATTGATATACGATATATTTATTATTGACGTTATGGCCAATAACCAATTTACAGATATTTCACAAACAAATTATTTATATACACATACGCACAAATATACTTGTCTTTTTTTCAATACTGTAAAAAAATGACCAGGCCGCTGACACATCACTAACACTATCATGATCAGACAGACACCACTTGACCAACCATTTCAATTAGCAAAACATGTATTTATTTATTCATTTCATTTCTTTAAAAAACAACAATTTATGTACAAAAAAAAACAAATGACAAATAAAATGAAAGGCGACACGAAGAAAAAAATCTTATCTACGCCTTTTTCTCAAAAAATAAATTAAACAGTAATGATCTGCAAACAAAAACTAAATAAAAAACCAAAAAAAAAACCAACCTCAAGTCCTTATTAAATATCATTTCGTATGAATACACATTTCCCCTCCAAAAACAGAAACTCAGAGCTAAAAATGGGAAATCAATATTGGACTTTATATCAGCCCAGATTTAATTATCAGACAGATACCAATATTCTAAAAAAAAAAAGACCAATATCGGCTGATATCTAATCTTTTCACAGTGTGACAAAGCTTTAGTTACAAGTACATACTTTGGAATGT